TTTTTTTTGTTTTTTGCATTTTTCTACGTGAAAAGAACACTAAACAACATGATTTCAACAGATTTAGAAAGCTAAGAGAAGGGGCTACAACTATTGTATCGTGGGAAATTTCTCCCAAAAAGGAAGGTACATGCCCTAAAAGGGTAATTGACACTGACAGACTACAAAAGATTGCTGATATACTACAAAAGTAAGTTATAGCCTACAAAGTTTACTAATAGACTACAAAAGTTGGACATAGACCACAAAGGTCAGACAAAGACTACAAAAGTTAATAGTGTCCGCTTTTTGAGACTACAAAAGTTAGTAGTGTCTGCTTTTTCAGACTACAATGGTTTGTAGTGTCCGCTTTTTGAGACTACAAAAGTTAGTAGTGTCTATTTTTTCGGACTACAATGGTTTGTAGTGTCCACTTTTTGAGACTACAAAAGTTAGTAGTGTCTGCTTTTTTGGACTACAATGGTTTGTAGTGTCCACTTTTTGAGACTACAATGATTTGTAGTGTCCGCTTTTTGAGACTACAAAAGTTAGTAGTGTCTGCTTTTTTGGACTACAATGGTTTGTAGTGTCCGGTTTTTTCATTACAAAAGTTAATAGTGTCCGCTTTTTACAAAAGTTAGTAGTGTCTGCATTTTTGGACTACAATGGTTTGTAGTGTCCGCTTTTTTCATCACAAAAGTTAATAGTGTCCGCTTTTTGAGACTACAAAAGTTAGTAGTGTCTGCTTTTTCAGACTACAATGGTTTGTAGTGTGGTTAACTATGTATATATAGGTCATTGGGGATATGATTGAAGGATTGGGATGAGTTGACATTCTGCCACTTATGAATAGTTGCTTTTGATGTCAGGTCCATGGCTGTTTTCCATACTTGCAATCTGTCATGTCTTTTCACATGGGAAGCCACTATCCTATCTTTGATGTTGGTCAACCTTCCACTCAGATCAGTATCTGCTGTCCTATGTCTGACCACAGTCAATCTTCACATGATTTTTTTGGAGGGATAAATTCTCTGTCCTACCAATGCAACTTGTCATGTCTTTTAATACCAAGACCATTTGTCATTGTCGAAGCCTTCACCACTGGGGTCAGCCTTGAGTAGATTGATTTAAAGGTACCAAAAGTGAATTAAATAGGTGGTTGGTCCTGTCTGTTTTTCAATGTCAATC